CAAAAGATGTAGTCCTATTCCAAACTCTCTGTTCACAAATCTTGAGGTTTCATTTCTAGAAGCTCATTCTGGTGGGATATCAAGATAGTTGCCATAAGCATTTCCAGGGCCATATTAAGAAAATCCCAACTTAAAATTGATTTAGAATTTTGTTTATTTACAATCAGATAACTAAATAGTGATGTTATCTAATTAGTGAACATGGCCTCAGCCTCAATGCTCTTAAATGAATGATGAAAGTAAATAGTATGAGTAATCATGGCTTTATTTTCATAAAATAGAACTTTGGAATTGGTAAGAAAAGTAAGCTGAGTCAGTTCAAATGTTTATTTTAATCAAATTATTCCACCTCAAAGAAACATACACTACAACTTTTTTTTACCTCTGATATTCAAAGTATATTAGATTTCAGTTTATAACACAGACATGTAGAAATCTGATATTTCAATCAATGAATACCACTGAAGGCACCCAAAAAATTATTTAAATTAAAACCATGTAGACAATCCAAAAAAAAAACAAAAAAAAAATTAAATTAACAGATAATCCAACAACTTAAATACCATACAGATTGTATACATGTAGCTTATTCATTCAGGATGAGGTAAAATTATTCAATTCCAAATTCTAGGTAGAGTTTATCTGTTCCTCAAATTTTTCAAATTGACAATTTTTAACGATAATATATGCAGATTTTAAATAATCTGCTATCTTAATCAGGTGCTGGCACACGAATACTCTTGTCATGAGTTTTCCCACTGGCTGAGAGTATACACTGAGACAAAAAATCTTTGGCTTTGTCTTGCAGACGATAAAACAATCGGCAACAAATATAAAACTGGTTTAATATTATAAATCCTGTCAACAACGCGATGAAATTTTACTCAAGATTCAAGTCGGCGACCCAAATTGGCGACCAAGACTGTTCATGTGCTTGCACCATAAGACAACACAGATACATATATTGATAATTGGATCATGAGGGTAGGGAGCCAGGATGGGGGTGGGGTATGACATGTCAAACAAATCAGCACTAATTAATTTCAGTCTTAGGTAATCACTTTACTACATTTAACTTTGTTTAAAGTCATATTTATTTGTCTAAAATTTATGTAGGTTTCAATCTTGAAGCCAAAAGGTCAAGACATCCAGTTCCCCTAGTTTCAATTTCATGATTGACTTTATGGACTATTTACAAGCCAAGCCTCCATATTCTGGTGGCTGATTTTTGTCCAATCTTAGGATGTGATATTTTTCCAACCAATCTCAAAATAACAAACTCCAGACCTCAAGGTCAGCAAGCAAGCTTATGTGACAAATACAAATAACAAATACACATAAAGTACAGACATTGAGAAAAACTCATAATGTCAGTCACATTAAATAAGTTGTTGGCTTAGTTTCACAACACCTTCTAAAAATAAAAATGGTTTTAATCGAATTCTGACTTATATAACAATATTTTATTATTGATAGTTTCAGTCACCTCTTGGTAATAAAAAATTTAAATTGATCTTGTCTCGATTAACAATAAGTCATTTATCTATTATCCTCATATATTATGTGAACTGTAAACTTATAAATATTTCACAAAATTCAGATTGTTCTAACACATCTTGCAAATAAAATTTCTATTATATTTTTTTATGATAAAATGATTACTCTTTAGTCCAGACAGGTAATCAAAACTGAACTATTTTTTTGATAACAAAACAGAAAACAGTTTTTTAAAGGGGGTAAAATGAATATGCTAATAATCGGGTTAGCTCTAGGGTGAGCAAACTCAGATGGATAAAAACTATTCGTATCAGTTCATAACATATTTATATATCATAAACACAAGACAATATGCACACTTCTTTTAATAAAATATTAAACACATAACGTTTCAAAACAAATTAAACATGTTGTCATCAGATGAAATCATTGATGATTGATCTTGATGACACATGTAATTTGTGTTGAAAACTGATGTGTTTTATCGACAAAATTTCATGCACGGTCTTGAAACCCGAGACCGATTAAAAGGTTACCCAAACACTAAATTCGGTAACATGACTTCCCCACATACTAAACTGGAAAACATTTAACTAAAAACTTCTTCCCTTTCAATTTATCACAGGCATCTAGCAAGATCCACAATAAAAAAAAAATAGGATGATATCAAGTTTTAGATCGGAGTAAGTACCACCCGGTATCAAACACTGGTATTTTTATCACCAAACTTGCTTTCTTTCCTACAATTTCTAATGTTTAGTTATGATTATGAATAACTTAGGATCAGTTTTAAAGGGCATTTTGAACAAGGGCAATACATTGAGTCAAAATAAAATGGAGGCCTCATTGATTGGGCTAAAAGAACTTTTTGTGGACCAATTTTCCAGGACAGCAGCACTAGCCTGCTCTTTTTTATTTCCAACTGTCGAGGGATCTTTAACGTGCACAGTCTGTAGCACCTCAGTTTATTGTCCCATCCGAACGACTAGACGTTTTTTCTAGGTCAGCCCCTCTTACCTACATCACTGAAAAATCCGAAGGTATCATATCGACCTATGCCTGGATTAAACCCTGGACCTTCAGGTTAGCGAGCAAGCATCTAACTCACTGAGCCTCAGCGGCTCCAGTGGGTAACAAAGTCAACAAAGTCAACAATTAAATACTAGAACCACGTCAGTACTGAGCCAGTGAGCATCGGACCTGTCAATCGTTGAAACCTTGCATCAAAAAGTGAGAGTTTACAGAAAAGAACAGGAACAGCTTGTTAATATAAAAAGTCCAGAAACCAGTTTCGCTTTTCAAAGGACTCTTAACCAGAAGTTAAATTCACACAACAAAAATGAAGATGTCATTGGACAGACCTCTACAAGAGCAAGAAATTTTGTACAGGTTGTCTTGCCACGAAAGGTCAATGTCAGAAGATATGAGCCTTGAATGTTTTAAAAATTGCTGTTTTAAAACCAGAAGTAGATTTGAGACATCAAAGTATGAATAGTTCCTGGGTCAATGCCTTTGACTGTACAAAGGTCAAGGTTCATTAAAATGCCATCATCAGCATTCTACGAACTGCTCATTACATGTTACTGAAAAAATACATTGTACACTAATTGTTGGTGAGGCAGGTAATTTGTTTTGATCTTGAAGGTCGAATTTGATCATAAATGAAAAGTTTTGTTTACAAGTTGCTACTTTTCCCATTGACAATTGTGCATCTATAGAGAATTTTTCAACCTAAGAAATCAAGATTTTAACTTGTGATCATCAGTTAATTCATCCGTACCAATTTCCTTCCTTCAGAGTATGAACATATGAACAATTATCAAATACATTACATTATTAAAATATAACTAGAAATGATAAATACTATGGCAAATCCATCTCATTCATTCTGAATTCCTCTAAGGAATATGAAAAGATCATTATCAAGAAACATATTCAGTGTCAGTTGTAAATGCACAAAACTGTTTTCATGACATTTTTATGTAAAATAGACTTGTCTAGTCCCAAACAGCTTTAAATCGAGACATTTCCTAATTATTAATATTCACAGTCGAGAGTAATATATCAAAACTTTCCTGAACATCATGCAAATAACTCTCTATTCTTAGATTTCAGATCTATCAAAAAAAATTGATTCACTAGCCTCCAAGTTTACACAATCTATCTGGTGTGCAGAAAATCATTAAAACTGAAATTTGCTGTGTGAGAAAATCAAATCAGTGTTAAACTTTCACAAATGAAACAACTGTTGATCTCAGATTTAGAGCACCATAGTTTAAATGATTGTTAACTAACAAACAATAATAGTATATATATTGTATTTCAGATGATGACTAGAAATCTAAAGCAGTCCTTAATAGGAATTGATATATTATCAAATCAAATCACTTTACAGTTTAACTTGTTTTATTAAAAATCAAATCGTTATATATCTTTTACATATCCAAAAAACTTGTGTTAAAATGATTTTGATCAATTATTCCTTAAAATTTATTTTTCCTCTAACCTAATAAACCAATGAGAATACTTTATCTCCTAAAATTTAAACTCTAGCTTCATTAAGTATATGAAAATATAACAAGTGGTTGCCTAGCAAGATACAGCCACTTCCCTGATACATTTTCAGGACATCAAGGGCGGTCACTAATCTGCGTTAAGTCGTACAAAAAAATCAAATTTGTGCAAGATATTGTTCATTTAGACAAATAACACAAAATTTAATAACATTCTGACTGTCACCTCTATTGTGTTCACAAGCCAAAAAATTTTGATGCATTTTTACTAAGTCATGGGCAATAACTCAAATTCTGTTTCATTTAAATTGAATGAAAATTGTAGTCTCTATTGTGGTCACAAGCCAATTCTGGACGGACAGACAAGGGCGACTACATTATAATGTGGGTAAACATTCAAAAAAATAATCTGCTATAAAAAAGATAGTGGACCACAGCCATATACGCCCACCATGGCATGCGGATGGTAAATATTCAAGATTTTGGGGCAAGGGCAATAACTCTGCTTCTAACGGTCGAAAATAGCTCAAATTCGAACTTGATTTTCGTTTTATGAATATGTATACACATACCAAATTTCATTTGATTCCATCAAAAAATCTAGTTTTTAGAGCGTTTACAAGCAAATATTGATGGACGGTTGGACGGACAGGGGTGCCGACAATATACGTCCACATAGAGAGATGTGGGCGTATAAAAAGTAAGTAGTCTTAAAGTCCAACATGAAATGTCACATTATAATGTGGCCATATACATATAAATAAATTCCCGAAATAATAGGATAAAATCAGTGGCATTTCTATAGAAAAGAGGCTGTGTCTACCCTTCTCTCCCCACTTTCACATTTTATCAATTTACATATTGAAAGCATAGCCTGTGCTCCCATGGAAAATTTTTTGGCCCCTTCTCGGACCGCTCAACTCATTTTTCCTAGAAACGCCACTGGATATGAAACAGGTTATAGTTGTAAAGATATAAATGGTCACTCACCTGTAATTTTTGGTATAGTTCCAAATTAATGCCCTTGATATCTTCTAATTGTTTGCGTAAACCAATAACTGTATCTTGTTTTTCATGGATGTCTTTTTCCAGCAGACGGGAAGCCATTTCCATCTCCATCTTCATACTGATCTGTAACTGTAACTCTTTTTCAACATCCTAGTAATATATTAGTTTTAAAACATCTAAAAAAATGTTTCATACCAAAAGCTTTAAAATAACCCTTGATTGTGAAAAAGGATCTAGCACAGTCAGTTCGAGTGTCAGAATCTTGACGTCATTTGCTTGTTTCTGTTGAGAAAATAAATGGTAATTGTAGGTTTTTATTTTAGCTTGTCATGTGAAAGTGTGATGACTGAAAAAGTCATCTTTCCTAATCATTCCATTCGACCTGGCTGTAGATGAGTAAGGATAATCTGGCAACAATCAATTCAGCAGGGCATGGCTGAGGATCAGATGGTAAATTGGATCCTATAGAATGTAAATTGTTGTTTCTTCCTTTCCTGTCTTTCTTATCAGGGCAGCACAGGCATGGTAGGAATTCTTTGGTGGCACCATCACAACTTCTGGATAGGCAAAACTGTTTAAACAACTCTTATACAAATGAAACCATGTCAAGTTACATGTTTCTACCTTATTTCACTGTGAGAAATTTAGTTTTTTACTGAATTAATTGTTGCAAAATATAAATTGTCTTTCATTTTTAAAAGCCATCTTCAGCTTTGAAGAGAATTGCATGTTATTTTGTTATGTATATTCCTATTATGTTAACTAGGAATTCCAGGCCTTACATCTGTCCTCCAAACATATAAATCTAGAAATATAATATAAACCTATGAAAATATTAACCAATAATGTCCCTTGGACTTGTTAAGATTCTTTACTGCTTTTGACAAGTCATTAAGCTCAACCCTAACCCTCGGATATTCTATGGCTGGCCTTGCTCTTTCTTGAACTTTCTGAGCTCAGTAAAACTTGGCCAAGGTCATTATCCTATAATTTATATACATTTATAAAAGAAGATAAGAGGTAGATTTTCTTTCAATAAAAGGCATATTGTTGGACAAAATTATCCATGTATTGTTATAGAAAACAATAACAGTAATCACAGGATATGAAGTAGACCTCTCACACAATAAATGAAACATAGTCAGGACTATACAGGACAACAACTACAGAACTACATACAAATTTATATTCATTGTCTCCCACAGCTTTTCATGCTTATTTGCTTTAATCTAATTTGTATGAACAGGTAATAAGCAACAAATATGAAACTATATCATATATCTGGTCTTTCATATTCTCCATTGCATATAACACTAAGTAGAAAGCATACCCTGAATTTACAAGATTTCAACAAAGTGGATTTGATGATATATTATCATTTTGACATTTGGATATCTTCTAATTAGTTTATAATTTACTCTTGTGACAAAGAGAAAGAACTTTATTTGGCTGATTTTCTTCTTACATCTCAACAGATTTTGTGAAAAACAAGTTTTTGAGTCTTAGGTAACACTGTACTTTATTTTAAGTTATAAGGACTTTAATTGACAAATGCTTCATTACTTAAATCTGAAGTTTTAAGGTTTTGAGAATTGTCAGCCTCTCCGAAGGTGCAGGGGTTTTAAATGTATTTGTTTGAACAGGATCTGCAAAACACAGATATTGTGATATTCGGAAAGATTGATGTTTTTGTAGTTTAGTCGTACCATCATAATCCTCCTCTTAATATAATCAGATATTGGGCCTATGTTTTCTACAGATTTATAATAATTTGTTCAGGTTATGCAAGTAATAATATGTGTTCAATATCAATTCCTGTTGGCCTAATGCTCTATCCATGGTTTAATTGCTTTTCACATGGCTCATTTGCTTAGTCGATTGTTCAATCACATCATCAATGGGAGATGTCAGTAGAACAAAAATATTTTTATTTTCTTATTACAACTCAATTGTTCTTTTACTTATATAATTCTTTAACATGCATTGTTTATGATTTATTTGGTATCCTTGTTTTGATAATTGTTTAAATGTGGAATAAGAATACAGAGATATTTGTGGTGGCTAGAATACAGATGTTTCTGGTCCTTGGTATTTCATTTAATCTCCAGTTTAAATTATGAAATCTTTTGTTTAATAAGCTTATGTTTCTAGTTCTAATACAAACACTCCTGAGATTATGACACTTTCCGGACAAAATACATCATTGCTGTTAAAAAACTTGCATGGGTTCATAATATTGTTTATTATTAATGATTTACTGACATGGATGAAGATGATTGATCACTGATAGCATATTATACAACTATCATCTGGTTACATTCAATTATATATCTTTTATCAGACGAATGAGTTTTAAGGACTTTAAGTAACCTACACATACAATGTAAAGTACATCAATGGCCAAGGCCATGAGTACCAGTGAAATACCGCTTTTTACACCATGAAATTCATTGCTATCAGGATAAGCTATAGGTGACATTAACCCAATGTTTCGTTCTTTACTAGTATGGTAACTTAAAATTGATGTGAACACGAAAGATGAGCGGTTTATAATGACTTTCAACCTTTTGATTCCAGAAATACCTATTGAGGCAATTTTTGTAATTGTAATTTTTGAATGACTATTCTTCATTCAAAGGACTGTATAAATCTCTGACAAACACGATGTTTAAAATAATCAATTTCCAGTTTACTACCTACCTTTACATTAACAAAAACAAACTAGTTAGTGAACATTTGTACAAAATCAAAAAAAAAAGTTTATCATGCAAAAGAATATGTACATATGACTTGACCATCTATGCCAGATCAATTAGTCAACATTTACATTAGGGTATTGATATCTTCGACTGAACTTATCTTTTCTTCTTATAAACCATCTTACATGATGATATTTTAGTTAGCTTTATAATGTCAATAGTTAGATTTATTTTGTACTTTATGTGAGATATTATTCCTGAATTCTTATTATACTTATTTTGATTTTTCTGTCATTTATGAGAAAATAAATGGCCTTATTCAATTCTATATTTTATTGTCATTATTTTAATCATCATGTAACAAGCACAACACAGGGGATAAAAATGCCTTTTATTGAAAGAAAAACACAACTCAGAGCAAAGCAGTTGTAGTATTTATTTCTATACATAATAAAAAGAATACAAGTCAGTTTGCAAAATATTTGGTCTGCAATCAACAACAAGTTAAAACAAAAAACAATATTTGAGTACATACAGGAACCACTCTGAATGTAAACAGTTGAGTTATCTTGTTTGTATAATATTATTTCTATATCATCTACAATTGATGTATTGAGCACTGTTTTAACAGTGAAAATATTTTAGTATCATAGTTAAATAGACTGTATTTTACCCCAGTACAAGTCACACCTAGTTCTTATTTGTACCTGAGTGCACAGATATCTGACTCCAATAATCAATATATAGATAGAAAAGTCAATGGTATTTAGAACACTTTATAACAAGAATCTCTTATCAATGCAATATTAAGTAATTTTGATATTACAAAAATATTAGGTAGATATCAAAGCAAAGAATATTAAGTTTCCATTTGGTTTATTAATGTCAATTTTTAATAGAAACAGCAGGCACATTATGTTTATAATTTCAATCTAACCTTACTTCATGTTCAGAAAATATATATTTACTTATATGATATAAAGCTAGTTGAATTTCTAACTAGTTGAAATGATTTCCAAAAAAAAAAAATTAACCAAGCACAATATTGCACAAAACATTAAAATATATTTTAATAAAATATCACATTTTGATAAAATAAAAAATGAAATATAGCTGGTTTCTATTCAAGCTTTTGTTGAATCAAGCTATGTAATAAAGGAACTAAAAAATTATATAATCCATTAGAATTTCCATCTATGTTCTAGAAGGATCATGAGGAAACTACAAGATATCAGTGGTAGAATAAATGGTAATGGATTCAATATCTTATAGGTCTGACATATATAGTATTATAGGAATATACACTGTTGTTGGTATGCTTCAATTGATTCTCAGACTTACATTACTATCATAGACTAACACATATAATAATATAATTTAAAATAATGTACAGAATACAGCAGTCATTAAAGCTATTTGATATATTTAGCGTTATAAAATAGCTTTACTGTTGATAATATTTGTATATATGGCAAAAAATAAAATCACAGAAAGCATTGACTGGAAATAAAACTTAACTCCCTTCAAACAGCGCAAAATAGTTTGAATGAGAACATATTATTTAACAGAGATTGATTATCCTTATTACTTAAATAATGTTTCAAATTCAGAAAATTTTGTCCTGTTTTTACAATTCATTAACAAATAAAAGGTCCCATAAGCTATTTACCATCTCATCTCAGCCATTATCTTTATTAGGCTTTTTATGTTTCTTTGGACTACTTACTAATCTTAATTGGGTTTCCTCTTCTAGTTTCTGTTTAACATCTGAGTACATACTATCTAGACCAGCACGATTAGTTTCATAGGTTAGTCGTTCTGTAGCTATATCTTGTTTGGTGGCCTAAAAATATAAAGAAATATTGAAACACTTCCATTCTTGTTAATGGATTTCAGGTAATCTTTTCAATTTTCATTAATATGTTATTTTATAAGTGTCAAGGAAAATGCTGAATCAAAATATGTTTAATTTTAACATGAAAATAAAAAATTCCGCTGTCTTTTTATTACACAAACCTCTATCTGTTTATCATAATTATTCAATAAGCCTTTATTTTGTTCCTCTAAAGCATCATTCTGTTCTTGTAACATCAATATTTGGTTTTTGGCAATGGCTAAATCTTCTTTCATTAAAGCATTTGTAGTCTGAAACGTTTCAAGTTTTTGCTGTAAGTTAGCCACAGTTGCACTTAAAAATAATAAATATTGCATAAAACAATATAAATTTCATCAAACTAGCTTTCATTTCCAATTGTGACAACAGCCAATACCATCAAAGCATAAAATATTTAAAAACTGTTTTTTATGTGCAATGCCAGTCTTATCATGAATTAGATCCTAAACAAATTTTTCATCCAACTAGCAGAAGCTAAATTTTGACTGTGGCTCTAAGTATGTTAGATCATATTCAGTAAAATATATGCAACTATATAGTTATATTGTTTCGCTCCCTCTACCCATTTCTCAATCACTTCACTATTACTAGAAATAATAAACTTACTTGAGATGTCTGTTTAATTCTTCTAAATAATTTTTTTGATCCAAGATGGTGGCCATTCTGGCATTACCATCAACTCTGGAAAACCAGAAATACAATAAATTTAATGAAAAAAACTTTTTTTAAAGGAAATTTTTAAGAATTTTCAAAATTTAAAATGAGATTCATCATTAAAATCACATCCAATATAATTATTTATTTTGCATTTGCTAATATTTGTCATCAATAGTACAAATTGCAAATAGTGTATCAAATCATTTTAATAACTTACGTTTCCTCATCATCAGCTGAATTATTAAAATTCCCTTTTAAATATAAACTGAAATCTATTACACCCATCTGTAAATAAATTAGATTCAGGTTTTAGCTTTATAGCTCAATTTCATTTAGAAATATTTGTCATGTTTGATCCTCATAACATGTTCATATCAATTCCAATGCATATGATTTCAATCAGAAAAAGTACCTTCAAAGTGTAAATTAAAATCATAAAATTTTGTTTTTATGATTGCAATCAAAAGCAAAAATGTTTTAGTGTCCAGAGTTATAGAATTTGAATGAAAGGGGTAACAGACTTGATGCTGTTTTTCACTTTTGTATTGTCTGCTGATTTTAATTTATAGCTTAAGATTTAGAATTTAGACTGTATTATGAAGAAGTGAACATTTCTTGATATTTCATAGATTATTGGAATATTTAAGACCTTTTTTAAGTCTGAAATTTAACTACTGCCTACATCAGATTCATCTGGAATATGACCTTGAAACAGAATATAGTATCAGTCAACTTACTGGTTGATCTAAATCTTCACCCTTTATACACATATTACAATCAATAACATTTAATCCTACTAATAACCCAGCTAATACCATTCCTTCTTCTTCCATTAAAAACGCTCCATTTTCATAAAACTCACTACAAAATATCATACATAGAATTCATAATACTTGTATACTTAAAAAACTCTAGTTGTCAACCTAATCTATTCTATATCCAAAATATCCAAAAGATTTTATGACTTAAGGATGGGTTTCCTTGTTTTTGGGTCAAATTAAGCAAACTATTTGATTAATTAGTGTTTCTAATGAATTATCATGTATTCTTAATTATTCCATTTTATTCATAATTAAGAGTTTTAATCAATCATAAATGTCCAAGTATGTTCCGTCTGTATAAAAAAAAATACTTTTTGACATTTCTTGAACGGTCACCCATTGGAATTCTGCTGGTAATTCTCTTCTAATTTAGCTCATTATAAATTAATTATGGAAAAGTAAGATAAACTGGTATTTTTCCAAGTCATTAGAACACCTCTACTTTCTATTCATATAAGTATTAGCATTTTCATTTTCATAAATGAAAATAAGGGAACCCATCTTTAAACTTATTAAGTTTTAATAATTTAATCATTTTTTTTTTCCCATCAAATTAAGGGAAGAAGACATTCTCAGAAAATTAAAGAAGTCTATTCAAGCAATTTTACAAAAACTGGATCATATATTTCCATACGCGAAGAATTTTTCTTTTCAAACTTAAACAAATATGAAAACCTTGTACCTGAGTATTTGATCTTTTTGTTCAATAATTAATTTAAAATAATCAGCTAATTTCTTCTGCATTAAGGCTAATCTGATCCAACATCTAGCTCTTCCCAATGGTGATCTGACATAAATATAATTATATTCATTTTAAATATAAGACTGATGGCAAGTACTGCAATATCAATTCCTCTGTCAGCACGCCTAATGTCAATCTTTGATTGTGATTGTCAGTTAATATTGTCATCTCAGAATATTTACTGATAAGTACTAAAATACTAAAATACCGTATTTTGAGTTCGATAAAAAAAAGAAATAAATTTCAAGATAAACAGTGAATTCCTTGAACTTATAGAAGTACACTTCCTCACCCATATTTTCAAATAAGATGTTTAATACATAAAACAAGTACCTCAAAATTAGAAATAATGCAATTCAAAAAGAAATAGCTTACTTTATATCAGACATCTCTCTCACACTAGTCGTTATCTCCCCTGCTTCTGGGGCGATCTTTTCTATTTTCTCTAAAACTGCCCAGAATTCATGTTTATCACGTAAAATACCTTTCTTAGCTACAAAGGGATTAAGGTAAAAATGATATTCATGTAGAGAAAAATATTTCTATTCTAATTTTTTTAAGAAAAAGACAAAAATCTGCTTCAATTTTCAATAGTTACATACTTATATAATATTAAGCTCATGAAATGCATGCAGTTTTGCCAAAACCATTATTACTAGGATGATAAAAAAAGAAAAAAGGCTAATTATGATGAGTTTGGCTGTTGACCCAAAACCTTAATGTATGACTTACGTTTAATGCCATGTCTAAGTACATGTTCCAAGACAATAAAGAACTGTTGTAATGGTACATGTTCATTGTCTAACATACGACCATGAGCTAGAGATGAGTCTATTAATTCTTTGATGATCAGTTTACATACATTCAATAGGTTACTTCTCTCTATAGTCTGTGGATCTCTTTCTGTAATAAATATAAACTTTTATTAGCATTCCAGTCAAAATGACATAAAATGACATTTATCTATGTATCTTAAAATAACCATGAAATTAACATATTAACAAATATTTGAAACAGACAGACATTTTAATTGGGGCCAACTTACAATGAAACATTGGAAGATAAAAATTATTTAAATCAAGATTTTATCAAGAGATCAATTTCTACATTTTATGGTTCAGACCAAGATAAATTCTAACAAGAATTGATCCAAATAATATAGCTTTTCAAATATCTTGCAATCATTGGTGACAAATTTACCAAAGAAAATCTTATCAACTATTATATGATTTTTGAGGTTAAATGTTCTCAAGTTTATACAATTAGCACACTGGGTTTTTTTTCATATAAGCCAAAGTGCACTAAAATTTCATAATCCAATCGCATGATAGAAATTGTTTACTTAAGAAATTCCATTAATCCTGACAGTTGGTTAACTGGTCAACTGTCAAATGCACAGAGCCTGCCATCTCTTAATATAGCATGACTTACCACCCACACTTATGTAGCAATATTACATTCCTGGTTATCAATAGCAAGTTACAATACCATATATTTGCTAACGGTTAGCTACCAAAACAAAATTAATATTTGATGCCACAGCCTTTGTTGCTGGTTCTATTTCTAGCCATTACAAGCTAAACCTCATATCACTTACCATCTTCAAAAGATTCCTGCATCTGCAACTGTACATCACTTAATTCTTTAAGACAAAGCCAATCCCCGTCCACGGAAACACGAAAGTTACACAAATATATCGTTTCTTCCGCCATGTGGAAATCACAATAATATCAAACACCAAAATGGCTTCTTTTTAATATTCAACTTGACATAATAGAGTGAATATCAGCCATATTCAACATACAGCTATTGTTTTCACAATTCACTCTGACCTTTTAATTCAGAGACAGTTTGCAATCTAGACTGCAAGAATTCATTTGGCAGAATTTCTGCTAAACACATCAAATTCCATGAATAATAGCTCTGTGTAGAATGGCAGAATTCTTCCAGACTGACTATTGATTCACTACCTCTCTACCCACAATAAAGTCATTATCATAATTAGGTCACATTTATTAATTATTTACTTTACACTACATATAGAATATCGGATTATCTTTGTAAAAAATCCATTTAAATGAGGAAACAACAATAGATTAATTTCTCTTATCTTTTCCTTATGTTGCTAATTTTTTTATTTCATTTGTTTCTTTGCCAACATTTATTATGAAAATAATGGAGGGGAAGCAACTCTAATTAAGGTTAGCTGTTGTCTGTATCCTATTAATAATAAAACTCAGCTGGTCACTATATCATGTTGGGCAGACAAAGCAAAACAACTGACATTGTATTTTTTTAAGTAAAAATTACCAGTAATGACTTTTAAACTATTTGTTGCTTTTCAAAACAATCCAGTTCGATTATTCTACTTAAAACTACATATTTGTACTTAATATGCTAAGATTAAGAATTATGAATATCAATTATTGAAAGATAGCTTGCCAGGCAAGGTAATATATGCCCACTGGCAGCTTTGATTTTGAACATAAATATTTAGCAGTGCAGTAACAATCACCAATATGAAATATTCAACCTTCAATCATACACTTCTTTTGAACTCTTTAGGGCGATACTGAATAATATTGAGTTATTGTCCTAGTTCTTGAAAGCGTGTTCAATCTTTAGCTCGTGAAAACTCTAGAAGACAAAAATTCAATCTTCAGCGCGGTAATGAATAATAAAACCAAGTTTTGTCAAAATTCGGCAAGAATCATGCATTCTAGAGTTTTTACGAGCTAGCAATTGAACGAGTTTTAAAGAACAAGGACAATAACTCATACTAAATTTTTCGATTTTTCTGATTTTCAATAGGGTTCATCCTTGGGTGATTACGGACACTCACACCAAGTTTGGCCAAAATCCAATAAGAAGTGTCCCTTCTAGAGTGTTTACAAGCTAAAATTTGAACGCGTTTTCAAAAACAAGGGCAATAACTCAAACTAAATATTTTTCTGTTTTACGATAGGGTTTATTCATAGGTGATTACAAACACTCATGCCGAGTTTCATCAAAATCCGTCAAGAATTGTGCCTTCTAGAGTCTTTACAAGCTAAAATTGAACGCGTTTTCAAGAACAAGGGCAATAACTCATAGTAGATATTTTTCAATTTTTCTGATTTTCGATACGGTTTATCCTTGGGTGACTACAAACACTCATACCAAGTTTCATCTAAATCCGTCAAGAATTGCACCTTCTAGAGTGTTTACAAGCGTTTTAAGAACAAGGGCATAGTAAATATTTTTCGATTCGTCTGATTTTCAATAGGGTTCATCCTTGGGTGATTACAAACAACCATACAAAGTTTCGTCGAAATAAATCAAGAATTGGGCCTTGTAGAGTATTTACGAGCAATTGTGGACAGACGGACTGACGGATATGGGTGACAGCAATATACGCTCCACATTTCATGTGGGAGTATAAAAATGTCTCAGTTAAAGCAACCTTTTTCTTTCTATTACCCTTTAGGGATCCTTGATCAATGTCATTACCCCCTCCCTCTATTAATTCTCACTATTACCCCTCTTCCCCCTTTAAGTCCTTGCTATTTCGTTATTTTCTCTTAGGTTTTCCCTGCAACCTTTTAGTTTAAACAGTATTTATTACAAACAATATACAAACAAATATACATATTTGTTGAATTAATGGTGCCATACAGAGACAAGCTTGAAGCTTATATCAGTCTGTCGCGATTGTAGATGTACACAAAATTTGTTTATGAAAAGAAGAGAAATGAAAGTAGCGTTATTTGATATACATTTACTTGGAAAGCAAAATATAACAGAACTATTTACAGAAAGGGGTATATGTGAGGGACCGAATAAGTTCATTGGTGATTAAAACAAGAAATTCAGTATTGACAGGTTGAAAATAATGAGGGGATGAGGATGTCTATCGTTCATCATTTTCATGATGTCAAAGTATAACCTCCGTTGTTAAACCGAGTGTAAACCTAGTGTGAAATGGAGGCCATACCCTGACATAGCTTTATTCTGGTCGAGAGAGTTCAAAATAATTTCAACTTAATGTGGAGTATATGTTGGTTGCTCAATTTCATAGGTATTAAAAATAAGGGGAGGTAAATCATCATTTTCATTTTGGGCTTGACTTGCAAAATATTCATTAAAAACATCGGCTTTACTTACATCTGAATAAAATACGTTACCATTAGATAAAATAGGGGGAATATCTTTTATAATATTGGCTTTCTTGGATAAAACATTACTTAATAATTTCCACCAGTTACGATCTTTGAAGTTGTTTGAGTTAATATTATCATCTCGTTTAGAATTGTATTCTTTTTTTACCCTTCTAATCTCTAAAGTAACAAAGGTTCTATACTTTCTAAATTCGTGCCAGTGATGAGGGAGGTTTAAAGTTTTAGCAGTTTTATGAATTCTATTTCACTTGCGCATAATTCTGCGCAAATAACCATTCATCCATTCTGCATCACTTGGTCTAATTAAAACTGTTTTATGAGGTACATGCAGATTAATCCCTTCTATGACTTTTTTAGAAATAAAATTGGCATAACTGTTAACATCAGTTGTATCCAAGTAAGAATCCCAGTTAATGTTTGAAAAGTGTGAATTAAGTTGAGTGGAATCAAAATTAACATTTAAGTTAACAATGACTAAGTCTAAAAGCGAGGCGGTCGTATCAGTAATGCAAGTAGGACTAGCAATGAGTTGATGAAAATTGAAACGATGTATAAAATAATGCAAGGGACTGTTATGAATAGTTAAAAAATTAATATTAAAATCACCTAGGATTATCAAATTTTTATTACAGACTCTAGCTATGTCTAAACTATCTTCTATTAGATCCCAATAAGCCTGATTAGCTGAAGGAGGTCTGTAAAAAACGCCAATTAAGTAAGTTATATTGTTATAAATAATTTCACACCATACAGCTTCGAGATCTAAGATACAAAGGTCAGGTCGGGGTTTAAAAAAAATTGTATCACATATGTATAAAGCAACAACCCCTCCTGTGCCTGTGACTCTGTTATGCAGAATGGGTGAATGGTAGCCTGGTAAAATCTTTTACATGTCAGAGTATATAAATGAATAGAGTTTAATGTCCTATTTATCTGCACCATGAGCTAATTTTTACTAGACTAAAAAGCACCCCATTAATCCCTAAAAAATTACCCCCAGGTTGAAAACCCCCATGTATTTAACATGCATAGCATAACATAAGCTTATCTAAAACTTGGAAAATATGTGATCATGCAATCATTGTGATCATAATTGATACATTCCAATTGGAATTTATGGAACTTTGTATGCTTGAGTATATTGATGAGTTTGAGTTAGATAATTTTGAATTCTTTTTAGACACTACTAAAAATACTAAGTACCGTATGTTGGTGTGTATAAGCTTAAATCAGATCTACAAAAAAGTTCTGAAAGCTATAGATACATTGTGATTTTTTGAAAAACACGACCTTTATAAATCTAAGAAAGTCAAATTTATGATTTGGGGTACTAAGCCAAATTTAAAATCTAAGACTGAGATCTTAATATTGTATAAGTTACCGCACATTAATGTCTCATCTTTTAAGATACTTTACGACATAGACATAAGGAATATGCGATTTTTTCTTCATTTCTAGTACTTACTTCTAAGAACTATTTTTCATATATATACAGTGGTGTAACCTATTTTCGTGGATATAAGGATTCAACACTGAAGTTAAAAAAAACAAAAAAACAAATTTATGTCTTAGATGTTTCCTCAGATATTCTACAAAATAATTAAAATTGGTTTATTTCGATTTTCTTTATGAATCCTTCACTTTGACCCATATTTCATGAGCAACCAACTCGGCAACGGCGGCAGAATGCCTCACCTATTTTCGTGTACAATGTTTGATCTATAAATAAGTCTAGAAAAACACGTTGTATGGATACAGGTTGGTGTAATTAACTTCTCTTAGTATTTATCTTTAATATCAATTCATTATAACTAGTGACAATCCCTTCAAAGAACCACGATTTAACAAAAAATAGTGACCATAAGAATATGGTCCACTTTGTGTGCCATAGAAATTTTCTGCTGACACAGAATCCGCTGGTTGATCATGTGACTTCATTCATTTGACTACATTCTAGCAGACGACACTTGGAATTCCGATTACTGCTTGGGATTGTAAGGAAATTCGGCCGATAAAAAAGTGTGACGTTTGGTAATAAGTGAAATCCGGCATTTGGTATTTGTCGAAGTATACATTAATACATCTTACCTTGCTTGAAACTACTGGATTCATTCTACTAGCTGATATTGTAGAGAAAACCCAAACTAATGCGGAGGTCGCGCAAGGTCGCTCATGTCAATTATTAATCCTTTCCGGAAATCCACGAATAATAGGTTTCCACGAAATTTAGGTTACTTGACTGTACAACACTCAAATCAACCCCAAAATGGTGCAACTGTCCCTTTAAGACTATTAAGGTATCTCAGCAGTATTTTGGAGATGTTACTTCAATTCATACAAAGTTGTTGGCTAGATCTAGCTAAACGAAGATTTTGTAACACTATTTTTATTTTAACTGTTGTGTAGGCCTAAATATTGTGCAGTGGTCCAACAACAGTCACATCATTGTACTGATGATAGCAATAAAGCCAATGAAGACAATTTGTCATCTACATTAAACTAAATAATCTTTCAAAAAGCGCATTTATATCGTTCAAAACAAGGCTACCTTACCTTCAGGATCAGTGAATGAATGGTTTTTACTAAGAAATTCGTCTGCTAAATTTTCCAAGTTCGCAGACAAAATTTCCTGTTTTTAACTTGGAAAATTTAGCGACCTACTTTGATATCTGATGTTTGGTTGGCTCTGAACCAGTTTTTTCTTTTCTTGTGGAACTTCTTTTGCAATTACTGGACTCGGCCATTCTTCAGCCTTGGAAGCATTTGCTAATTCTTCTTGTAAACTTATTCCTCCCCCAGATAAAACATCTGAGGTCGCCATTTTATAATCTCTAATGAAAAATGTCATAGATCTAAATAATAACATTTTTTTGTTTTTTTGATACCTTGTTTATTATGAAAATTCACAAAATTATGTTCAAAATGAATGCAAGCTTTACAATCATTGGTATTGTTATAACTTTTTCCCTGGAACTCATCCTCGGAATATTTCAGCATAACGAGAAAGCTCGAGATGTCGTCTGCAATGGATGCAATTTTTGCCAACACAACCTTCAGGCTTCAACGTGTTATGAAAATATATGGTTTTCAACCTACTAACACATTTACATGCACATTTTAATGGCAGTCGTTAGAAAATAGTTGAAACAAAGTTACTGACCAGGAAAAATGTCGAAACATTCCCTTTTGATTTTAAAATATCTGAAAAATAACCCTGTTTTATTGAAGAAATTTGCAAAGAAAGTTGCTGATGTGAATTTGTTAAGATGCTTTCATCATACAAGCAGGTAGGCGTAACATATGTTTGTACAGTTTGATTTAATTACATTGCAAAATTTTTCTATATTCATTTTGATAGTTTTAACAGATCAATGCTAGGCTTAGACGTGTCTCATATTTAAATTGTAAGATTTTGTAGGGTCAAGTAACCTAATTTCGTGGAAACCTATTATTCGTGGATTTTCGGAAATGTTTAATAATTTATATGATCGACCTTGCGCGACCTCCGCATTAGTTTGTTGTAATAAACATGGGTTTTCTCTGCAATATCAGCTAGTAGAATGAATCCAGTAGTTTCAAGCAATGTATAATGTATTAATGTATACTTTGACAAATACAAAATGGCGGATTTCACTTATTACCAAACGTCAACATTTTTTATCGGCCGAATTTCCTTATAATCCCAAGCGGTAATCGGAATTCCATGTGTTGTCTGCTAGAATGTAGTCCAACGAATGAAGTCACGTGATCAACTAGCGGATTCCGTGTCAGCAGAAAATTTCTTTGGAACACAAAGTGGACCATATTCTTATGTTGTTTTAGTGACTTTTAGAAATAAATCATGCTACGTATCTTATTTTGTCAGTCACTATTTTTAGTTAAATCGTGGTTCTTTCAAGGAATTGTTACTAGTTATAATGAATTGATATTAAAGATAAATACTAAGAGAAGTTAATTACACCAACCTGTATCCATACAACGTGTTTTTCTAGACTTATTTATAGATCAAACATTGTACACGAAAATAGGTGAGGCATTCTGCCGCCGTTGCCGAGTTGGTTGCTCATGAAATATGGGTCAAAGTGAAGGATTCATAAAGAAAATCGAAATAAACCAATTTTAATTATTTTGTAGAATATCTGAGGAAACGTTTAAGACATAAATTTCGTTTTTTTAACTTTGACGAAATTCAGTGTTGAATCCTTATATCCACGAAAATAGGTTACACCACTGTAATAATAATGATCACAGAAATTCCCAACAAAACTGGCAAGAGTCATACTCACACATATGTAAAAGACATAGATGCTAGTTGATTTAAATGCTGGTATTGATAATATTAGGTAGTTTAGTTGAAGAGATTGGGAAAAAAATGGTCGCACAGTAAAACCAGTATGGCCTTCATTCTTAATCTTATGACTTGAGATAAGCAGTAACCTGTTATCAAGGTTAACATATTTTGACATATTTTTTTAATTTCCTTTTTTTCAGAAACAATGTGGCAAGGTTGATTGACGGAAAAGCCATAGCTAAAGAAATTAAAGATGAAGTGCGGCTAGAGGTCAATAAGATCATTGAATCTGGAAAGAGACCACCTCATCTTAGTGTGTTACTTGTTGGTAGTAATGATGCTAGTGTGGTTTATGTGAGAAATAAAATAAAGGCAGCTGAGTATACTGGTGAGCTTTTTACTACAGAAGTTACAGTCAGCTAGATTTACTACAGAAGTTACAGTCAGCTAGAATTTTTTAATACCATTTGTTCTTTTTGGTTATTTTTTAATATTAAGTAATCTTTCTTTATTAAATTTCAATTTTCTGTGCATATTTATATTTATTTGGCAGTGGTAGGTCCTACTTAATTTTTATTTTGTTATTACAGGTATAACTAGTGATACTATAAGAATGCCAAGTGCAGTAACAGAACAAGATGTATTGAATGAAATTGACATGTTAAATAATGAACCCAGTGTGGATGGGCTATTAGTTCAACTTCCAGTTCCAGATCATATCACAGAACGAAAGATTTGTGATGCTGTAGCACCAGAGAAAGATGTGGACGGATTCAACATTTTAAACATTGGTCGATTTTGTGTAGATGAGCCATCTTTTATTCCTGCAACTCCATCTGGTGTTATGGAATTACTGAAAAGGCAAGGTTGGTTTGATTTATCTTTTTCAATCAAAGGAGGAGTTAATTTTCTCTCTTAGCAATATCCAAATCAGCTAGACGTTTTGTAGCTCATTTTGTAAGTTCAAAATTTATCCCTTTCATATCCTGAAATTAAAGCTAAGTCGAGAAATAGTTTAGGATCAGTGTCAGTATATACATATATATTTTCACAAAAACAATATCTATTGCTCTGTTACCTAGGCAGGTGCTCTCATTGAGTCTTAATACACCTTGATACTTACAGGAAGACAATTTATTTGTTGTATTTTTGCAGATAATGCAACAAATCAGGATATTCCATATTTAGAGACAGAATGAATTAAACTAACTATTGACTGTTTTTAGGTGTTGAAACTTTTGAAAAGAATGCTGTAGTCATTGGAAGATCTAAAAATGTAGGTTTACCTATAGCTATGTACTTACATGCTGATGGTAACCATGGAAATAATGCAGGTAAAAAATTCAATGTCAATGTCTTTCTAAATTTTGTTAATAATATAAATTTTTCTTTATTAAAAATGTGCAGCTTAAAAGACACAAGATCTTGGATGAGTTTGAATTTGAGCATAATCTGATAAATGAATAAATATAGACATATTTACAGCACCTGGTATATCATAAATATTTGAAAGTAGCTTATGCATGGAAAAGAAGGCAAATGTAATTGTTAGATTTAGGTTTGGAGCTATGTGTTTAAAGATGAAGGCCAAGTTCGAATCTGAGAACCATCTTTCAAATTATGACATAACCTTTCTTTGTGGATTAGGCAGACATTACCTGAATTACAGTCTATCATATACTTCCTAGAATCTCATTAATGTTTTATTTAAAACTGAGTTGTTTTAAGCTTTTATTTTATTTTTTCCTATATAAAAGTATTTTTGTTTAAGTTTAAGTGGCTTGTGAATGCGATAGAGGTCAAAATTTTTCTCAGAATTTATAAATTCGAGTGTATTATCTTTTTTATTTTCTAATTTTAGGGGATGCCACAGTAACAATTTGTCATCGGTATACTCCACCTGATCAATTGAGGGTATTTACTCAGACAGCTGATATTATAGTAAGTGCTACTGGTATACCAAACCTAGTAACAGCCGACATGGTGAAAGAAGGAGTGACTGTTATTGATGTAGGAATAACTAGAGTTAATGATCCAAACACAGGCAAATCTAAACTAGTTGGTGATGTGGATTTCGAAGGTAAGTTGTTTTTTTTTGTCAAAAATTTACAGTGATTGTTTTTCAAGTTCATTAATATTCTATTATATTGCTTTATTTAAAATTTCCTATAAATAGTACATTAGTTTATTATTACTTTAATGTCTTCAAAATCCTACCAATTGTATATACTGATTTATATATTATAGGTGTGAGACAGAAAGCATCTAATATAACACCTGTACCTGGTGGTGTAGGGCCATTAACAGTTGCCATGTTGATGAAGAATACCCTCAAAGCTTACAAAAAAGAAATCAAGTTTTCAGATAAAAGTTGATAAACAACTGTGCTTAGTTGTAGATGTTTGGTGCTATCTTGTCAAAATCAATTCTCGAATTTGGCTGCTAGGATTTTTATATTTTAATATTTGCACCTTAAGTTAAATCTGATCATAGTTATTATTACAATCCAATGCATTAGTGGGACCAAATAATGTTCTTATAAGATACATGTACTTGAATATTCGCTTTTGATGACAGAATACCCATGACACTGTAGGAGAGGTTTAAAAACTTTTAAATATTCAAGGTGGATTTAATGTAATGACAAGAACTTTTACAATATATAGTGAAATTGGTACTTGAAATTATTATACATTGTGAGCCAAATACCAAACCTCATGAATTGTGTTCATAGCTTTAATACTCTTCCTCTCTGTCTCAAGGCGGTGTTTGTCATTTTGATATTCAAAACTAATTTTATTTAATTAAACTACATAAGCTGTGATCATTTGACTATATATCTATACAAGTTTATACAAATATACAAAATACAATTGTCTCAAAACTAAATGTACAGAAGTTTTGTTAAAGATATTTATACATGTTTAATTCTAGAATATTCCATGATAGAGTGCTCTATAACTCAATAATTTGTAAGTATTTTAATTATCACTAGATATACTTACACATCTAGAGAACTTAGATTGTATACTCAAACATTGACTACATGCTTATTTTAAACCTTTATTAAGAATTGTTTTGTTATGTTTAATTTTTATTTTGACTTTAAATATGAACAAAACCAGATGTCTATTTTGAGAAATATTTTATTATAAAACTGTAGTGAAAAATGTAACAAATTTCCCAGAATCTCATTGTTAATGTTATATTTTGAATCAATTTGTTTTAGTTTAGTATTTTATTTGTTCCTAAAATATAATTGTCCATCAGTATACATGTAAATTTTTATTAATTTATACTTACCACTCATACAATTTATGTAATGTTCTTCAGTTAAATTTTAATGTAAAATCACAGAATAGGAACAATTTCCTGAAAAATGTTTTTGAATCTTGTATTGGTAATTATTCAGAAAAAAGGCTTAAGTTAATTAAGCCATTTTTCTTGTATTAAAAAGAAAACCTGTTATTACCTATATCAATATAAAATGGGTCATTTTGATTCAATGTAACACAATTTCAGTTTAAAACTGACGCATTACTAGTGATGGGCAATCGGAATTAAAAAATAATGGATTAATCGAAATAATCGGAGAGGCATAATCGATTATGTATAATCAAAACACGTCCCATTTGATGAATATGTACTTGTTAAATTAATTTCATAGTTGTTTTGTTAATTATGACAGGTTTGATGCAGGAAATTACACTGTAAGTCAACACTCTGAGAAAACAAATTACTTTTTTATTTGCAAACCAGTTGTTTTGCTCTATGGACCGAAATTACGTAGCAGTTTAATATTTTGTAGAGTATTAGCACTTTTTTTTATTATCAACAAAAAACAACACGACTGACTTTTTATACTCCCACATCTCTCTATGTGGACGTATATTGTCGGCACCCCTTTCCGTCCGTCCGTCAACATTTGCTTGTAAACGCTCTAAAATCAAATGAAATTCGGTATGTGTATACATATTCATAAGATAGTGGACCACAGCCATATACGCCCACCACGGCATGCGGATGCTTAAAACGAAACATCCATTTTAAGTTTCATCAAAAATCGGTTGAAAACTAAGAGAGTAATAGCATATTCAAGATTTTTGGGCAAGGGCAATAACTCTGCTTCTAACGGTCGAAAATAGCTCAAATTCGCACTTGATCTTCGTTTTATGAATATGTATACACATACCGAATTTCATTTGATTCCATCAAAAAATCTAGTATTTAGAGCGTTTACAAGCAAATGTTGACGGACGGACGGACGGACGGACCGTGGGCGTATAAAAACGAAGATCAAGTTCGAATTTGATCTATTTTCGACCGTTAGAAGCAGAGTTATTGCCCTTGCCCCAAAATCTTGAACATTTACCATCCGCATGCCGTGGTGGGAGTATATGGATGTGGTTCACTATCTTTTACATTGTTTGCCGACGTCGCCAACTTTCAGTTGGGAATCAATTAGTAGCATCGGTGGACGTTAACGACCGATAATCGATTGTCGCCGACAATCGGAACATCACTACACATAACCCTAATTAAGTTAGTAACACAAATATTGAGATGTATCCATTTATGTAGATTGGTGATGGGAAACATGTATATGTATTGTAAATGTTGTTTAAGGATCATGATGAACACGTTGCTTTTAGATTGTATTATTATAATAATATAAATACTAAAAAATAAAAAATATGTGTTAAAATTAGATTAGAACATTCCTCACTATATAAAGTTTTCTTATTTAGAATATTATATTCTAGTCTGAAATATGCAAATATGGATGGGTATTTGAAGAGGTTCATGTCAGTGTAGAGCCTCGAACTGTCAAAACACCTAGTCAGTAAGTTTCAGACTATTCTGCTTCAAATAAATTGAACACAATATTATGTAGTAAAATAATGAATAAAGATATTTTAAATTGACTTAGTATCTTTTCATACTCACAGTCTAAAGTAATGTCGGACTCAAATCTATGTTCTAAAGCTTGTATTGAAAGATTATTTTGGACTATCTTGGACTTGGAACCATGTTGGACTAAATTGTGCGTGCATAGGACTTCCATTTTGCTGGAGGTCTATGTTGGACTCCTAACATGAAGGATGTAACCTATGTTTAAACTTATTACCCTTTGTTGTTTCCATTTAATGTCTTTGTTGCTTCCGGTGAGATATTCTCACAGCCAGGAGATTTACCATCCTATACTTAGCCAGTATGGTTCTGTAGATTTTGATAAGATGTTCCTTTATGTGCCACGAACCAGCTTTTTGACGTCCCTTTCGCCCTGTTAACTGCCTTGTGATGTTGTAAAGTATTGCATTCTTTGTCACTACGTTTTTGACCCTCTATAGTCATGCTTGATACGTGTGCAGAGATTTTCGGACTAATTACATCATTCCTTTCGTTATAACAGTTTTGAAATGTGTGTCTCTTTTTATAACCTAATTGTGACCTAAAATAAATCTGTCAAGTTAATGTTTGTCACACTTGACTTCATGAAAATCAATGAATAAAAATTGATTTTACAATCAAAAGCCCCCAAACTTTAGAGAACTTTTATGATTTTGGTATAAAACGAAAAATGATGTGGACGTTCATCGTTATTAAGATTCTTATTATCATCCAAATTATAATTATGCACAGTCCTTTATGACGTGTATTAGTAAGAATTTTCCGATCCAATCTTTATACATTACATTATTACTATTAAACAAACATATTACTTAACTGTTGTTAATTGGTTGTTTATAGCAAATCTGAAAACTGAAATGTTGACCCTTAATCCACCTGGAAGGAATAACTAAGTCATTGTGCGCTTGTCATTTGTATCATTTGAATTTCTGAATTGAGCACGAACAGCTAAATATTTTGTGTTATTGGAATTAAAGTCACGAAAGCAGAAGAGTAAAATAGTATTTTTAACGTAATTAGCTAATCTGCTGATCGAAGACTTGCAGACATATTTTTGAATGGTGGATAAGTGTATGAGATTGTGTTTCTGTCTTAAAAATAGTTAGATTAGATGTTCATCATCTTTTTTCAAGGTAAAACTTACTAATGCATATTATGTAGTTCAACATAGAATTCATTTATATTTGTATAGAGATAATGACCTTTTTTAATTTTATGTTATTATCATTTTTATTATTAAGATGTATTAATATAATTATTAATTAGTATTCCTTTAAATTACAACACGATTAGATAGGCCACTAACCATCTGAAAATCATTAAAAATCACCAAAGTACTTATGCATATTTAGTTACTAAACGGTTAGATAATAATAAAACTCTCGCAGTAACATCTCTAATCCAAAACTATTCATCTGAAAATCGTCACAGCTGAACTGATATCTTCAATATCGGATAAAAAGCGCTGCTCCTACAAGTCAAATTTGACGTGTTTTACTAAGTCAAGGGCAATAACTCAGAATCCGTTCCGACTATGACAAAGATGTGGTACGGTAAGCGTTATGGCTTGACAATTTAGTATGGTCGAAACGGTGTGAGCTACCTACCAACATTTTTTTCTCTCCTCATTATATCAATCAGTAATTAATTAGAAAAATGTTGCTCATTAAAAACTTACATTTATGTAATCGAATGAAAAGTGGAAATTGATTGATTGAGTCCACCTGTCATTTTATATTACTTAGCCTACTGTTACCAAACATCTGCTGGGCAGCTGGATGATAACGTCCACTAGCGATTGTAGTGGACAGAAGAAGGATCCTATGTCTGGACCAATGCAGGCTCTATACGCTCTTCCTGCTTGTTCTCCTTGATGATGGGATTAAAAACTTAAACGCATATTACTAAGTCGAGACAATACATGTGATTACTCTCGGTGATGCAATTCTGAGAGACTGACATCGAAAAAGCGTCTAGTCTTTCGGATGGGACATAAACTGAGGCCCCGTGTGCTACAGGCTGGACACAGACATAGATCTGATACTTATAAATTACAAAACAGTAGGTTAATGCCGCTATCCTGGAAAAATTTCCCTCGTTACGCACTGTATAGCGTTGCACGTTTTCTTATGACGTAAAATTTCATACATTCTACTTTTAAACTTGATTTAATAAATAAGGTCAATAGCAACTCAATTATAAATACTCTTTATATTGGCTACATAGTGATGATTTTAAAAAGGAACAATCGACATTTTCGGGGATTGATTTGGGTCTTTATTGTACTGTAATAGTCTTAAGAAGTACAAAAACGCACGAAAATCGCATACTCCCTTCAAATATACCTCAAACTAGAAATTTCACTGTCTATTCTATATATGGCATAGTCTCACTAAAATTCCAGTCGGATTTGAAGGCTCAAATTTAGACGATGAGCTGTGAACACTATTACTGATTATGTAAGCTAAAATAAAATTCCTGTTTCTAAAACTAAGGTATGGTCCTTTAATGAAATGCTACGTAATAATAATTATTATAAATCGTGTTTTTAACTCTATAATATAGTGTTGTCAAATAATTACTTGAAAAAAAGACCACTCTATGAAAACTATTTAGATATTTTCTATTGAATAATTTGAATAACAATTCTGGAATTGGTTATTTTTTGAAATTTTAATTATAAACTCTTTCATAAAACATTCAAAATTAGAAAAGCAAGATATGATTGATGTAAAAAAATGATAAGATTAATGTGAAAATCTGTCTCTAGTGATACATCTCTTTCTGATTTTATCCAATAATTAGCTTAATTAGAAATTGGATATTATTAATGAGATTTCCATCAAAATCAAGCCAATTTTGTGTATGTTGTGCGTCAAATTGTAAATAAAGACGTATATATTAATGAGATATGGGAATATTTATTTAAGTTTCTATGGTAACCTAAGTCACAGAGTAGATTATATGGATGATATAAGGAGATGATTTTCAGTTGAGTCGGAGTTTTCAAACAGACATCAGTCTACTTTTACCTGGATATTACTGTCATCACCAGGTGAGATTTCAAAATATTATTATTTACTTAAAATGAGTCTTTAATAAGCTTGTGTAAAGGAAAATATCTTGACTTTTTCATTAAGAAGTTTTAAATATATATACTAGGGGTAACTTTTTGTATAGGGAGTAATGTATGCAGAGTATACCGCATCTATTCAGTAATTAATATCGGGACAAAGTTTTAGCTTTGCATTTGTTTTTCCGAGAGCACGTCTATTGTAATTGAAGGACTTACAAAGAATATTGCGAAGGAAGGTCGAAGATATACATGCAACAACCAAAATATGAAAGACACGCAGCACAAACCTTCAACCGGAAATGCTTTCTTAACTTAGATCTACATACATGACATCGGAACCATATTGTAATAACTCTTTGGTTATTGGTATTCATATTCATATTATTTCTTAAAAATTGTTGGCCCAATTGATGCCATCTGGATATTTATGTTTGGTTATTGACAATTACAAATAAGAACAAGGTTATACCTTAGAAATCCATTCTTCTTAAGAGTTTCACAAATCTGCGAGGATGATTTTAGATAAAACACAAAAGGACCGGTTATATTATATCCATTTCAAAAGATTTTAAGATAAGATGGATCTGATAAAACCGTTTGCCTAAACTCATTGAGAACAAAAATTCTTTCACCTATTCAGAGTTCAAGGAAACTAGATTCTGAGCAATTGACTTTAACCGTAGTTCAAGAATCTTGTTTAGAAAAATGACAAGCATGGATTAAGAATCCAGTATGAAATTGAAATGATATATGAGCTACTGTAAGTGGTTATCAGGCAGCACTGAGTTGATATTATAAATATCGAAGTAGTTATAAGGATAATCAATAAATAAGCTTTTAACTTATAAGCTTTCTCTGATTAATTAAAGAGGCGTAATGACAACAATAGTTTAATTATTAGGTGGACCCTAAACGCTGTTCTTTTCCAAAATTAATTGTTCGATTTCTTCCTACATGGATTCGCGAGTCACGTGCTAAGCTCTGTACAACTATTAACTTCAAGCATCTGGTGAAGATCTTAATGGTAAAGTTGCCACCTTTCTACACATATACCTGGAGATAGAACTAAAATAATTTTCTTTTTTACAGGTTTTTAAGGCACGCCTCTAGCACAGACACCCGTTGATTGTAACATCATGGGTAGTGGTGCTAGCAACCACTCCCCGGCTTCATCCCCCGAGCCAGATGTACCCCCACCACGAAAGAAATCTGTGAACAGCAAGGAAAAGGATAGAAAAGAGCAGGAGAAACACAATGAATACTCAGGTTTTTTTTGTTTACTTTTATTTTCTATCTAATGTATTAGAAGCTTTTGGAAATTTGTTCAAGCACTAATTGCTCATTTAACTATCTTTTAGATTTACATCATTGTTAGGGTGTCGCCAATGAAAAATGATCCGATATCTGAACGATACCGCGTAAGCAAAACTACAGCTTATGAGATGCTATTTATCAGTTTTTATAACAGTCCTATATTATTTCAGGTAATAATCCCAACAATCGAGTGGTCACTGATAAGAAGCAGGAAATATCTGATAAAGGATGTTTTGTCCGAACCAATCAAGTTGCTCCTATCGTCATCAAGAATTGTCGAGAAGAATTTCAACATATCAGTGAATTTAAAGAACCCATTGTTATGGGGAGAGTCGCTGATGGTTCTTTGGAACATGCTTTAATAAGGGTAAGATGCACATGAACAGTTTCATTAGATCCTTGCTATCTAGAAAAGCAGACGCTTGGATTAAGCTAGAAACCTATATGTTAAACGAATACATGTCATGTTGAGCTCTATCGTGTAAAAGTCCAAAAGCAAGTGAAAAAAATACGTAATTTGCCAATCGCCACATAAAGATGCTCCCCGCTCACGAATAACTTGTTTTTTTTTTTCAGGGAAAGTATTTTTTAGTAAAAGATATTGTTGAAAAGAATGATCGACTCAAATCTTTTGAAAAACAACATGCTCCCAATTTTCATCGCGCCAAAGGATTCCCAGCTTATGCTACTGGTCAGCCCACACAAAATGGTGTTATTAGTATTGTTAGCACTATTCTCAATGAAGGTATTAAGGTGAGTAAAGCATGACCTGAACGCAATCTTGTAGACGTCAACAGGTTCGCCCGTCGAACCACGATTTCCTTAGAACAAACTCCTCAGATAAAGATCTTTTCATGTTAGCAATTAGACCATCAGAACTGAAGTGCTTCGAAAGTGTTTGATGTAAGATAAATCAATAAATATAAAAGGGTTCAGTAAAATTTGCTTTAATAACTACTCGGGGGTTTATATAATTATTCCCCTCAGAACTTCTCTACACAACTTTCCAATTATTTTGTGGATCATGTAACATCACAGGAATTCATAAATCTTCTCGCACTGACTACTCATCGCTTATAAAGAGACTATATCTTCTCCTGATAAAACGAGTTCTACACCTTGGTGGTGTTCGAAGGGCTCAAACATTATCCTTTTATGTTTACAGTTCTGTAGATGGAATCAGAGAGAGCACTGTAGGCGAGGTCCTGTAATGTGTAAATAAATATTATTTATACACAAAAAGCTGGAATGAAGCCATACCATAAAATGTAAAAGCCATGAAATGTACATGGCCATTCATCTCGCGTACACAATGTAATATTCTATTTTTAGGAATTGTTTTTATTCAATCTGAGAGAAGAACCAGTATTGTTTATCAACATAGAAGATGACTATATTCCATATTCCATCAGAAACCAGGATCGTCTTGGAGAACTTGTCTGTACTGGTAAATGTGCCAAAGATGCCAACGAGGCTGAAGGTAGAATTCGAAAGGAGGTAATGATTTGGTCTTTTTTCTGCTAGACAGATCCTTCATATTAAAGTCCCTTATGTTTGTCTACAAAATCGAGATGTCTTGTTTTATCAAACTAATGCACGTTCTCAGCTAACTCTTACCATTAAAGCAGAATTAGTAGAAATTTACAAATATTGAAATAATGTATGAATGCCTATGGTTAAATTCTAACAGAATTTCAAATTCTAAAAATAATGTTCACTTGTAGGTATTAGATTTAGCCATGATGAGGGATGAGATGAAGTTTTATTTCTATGATGATTTGGAAAATCTAAAAGATGAACCTCACATGTTGCCAGTACTGTTTGAAGATCAGCTGCAGGTAGCCGAGGAGGTTTATGAACGTCAGGCTTTCCTTAATCCCGCCTTGAAGTAAGTGTTTGATTGTTTCAGGTAATAAGCTATTTTGAGGGTATGAACTGACATGCTATGTTTCATGTTATGTGCTCTGGTTTGATTACCAATAGTGCTTTTTGAAAAGGCATGTTAACACACTGTTTTCAAGCTGATTCTCCGTTACCAGTAATAAAAGTCAATGATATTAATGCTGGCATACTGCGACAGAGGAACAGAACACGGGAATAAAACTCATTCGTATTTTCTTTTTTCTATTTTAGGTACAGTAGATTTTGTTTCCCAGTACACAGAGCTCCCACCGAAGAAGAAGTCGATATTTTCCTTTCTTTATTCAGAGTAAGTTAAAAAAAAATGTAAATTTTTTGTACACAGTATTAATGCTAAATGAAAAGTTTTCACGGTTTGAATTAATATAATTAATTAATTAAACTAATATACCACTTTTCAAATCATAACAGCAATTAGACAAAATACCAATTTACACTGTGAATATATACAATGTTACTTTTCTGTATTTATAACTGATAACTGAATACTTCCAGGTCAATATGACAGATATTTTTTCATGACTAAATTGCATGATATTTCATCTTCCAGGAAGAACCTCATTTCTTTGACAAAGATCACAATCCTGCTATGTTGTTTATCTGTAATTCTGGTATGGGTCGAGCTACTGTAGGTCTAGCCATGGGTTGTCTTATGTTGGCGCACAGAACCAGTTTCCCACCTGAAGCCAAGTGAGTGAAGTGCTAAATATTTGTGTTCATTTTATTCTGCAATGTAATAATGATTGCAAGAGTACTACTGGCGTTTTATTGTTCGTAAAGGTTATTAAATTGGAGCTTAATTCCATTACAACTTCACGTCACCTGTCGACATTAACTGATATCACATAGATATTTTTTAGTACATTCATCCACTTAATGACAATTTGCGCGATTTTCTTATAGTGAAGTTCCAAACCATATCGATGAAAATAATCCAAATTTTGAAAGAGGTGAATATTTATCTGTACAACGATTGGTTAAAAATATTCCAGACGGTCTTGCTGTTAAACGACAGGTATAATAACGATAAATCTTTATTTATGTAATTATGTTTCCAAAGGTTAGTCAAGTTGCATCAGTCGCTGGTGGTATCATTGATGTACATCTATAGGCTCATTACTTGTGTCCAGTTTGATGTCACACAGAAAATTGGTCTTAGAAATCATCCAGTTATTTTCGATTTTCATTTATAGTTTGTTTTTCATTGTTAAAGCAAATGATACGCTTTTGTTTAAAAGTTGCTGTCTTTCCATTTATTCTCAGATTTTAAATCTCTGAACCATCATTATCTAATTGTACTACTATTCTGTAGGTTGATGTTATGATAGATCATTGTGGTGAACTGTACAATTTACGTACCAGCATTTTAGAACAGAAGAAAAAGATGGAAGGAATCCATGCAGATTATATAATAGAGGTATGCATGTCAAGTTTTCAAGCCTCATCTTTAAATATCTTTGCCAAACAAGTTCATTCCAAAAAGTTCATTGTATCTTCATGGAACCAAACAAAAAAAATAGGAAATAGTGATGAGCACATTTTCATTTTTATTTTTTCATTCCTTCCTTTTGTATTTCAGGGCCGTAGTGCTAAAGAAACTTACAGAAGAAAATGCATCTATTACCTAGAGAGATATATTTTCTTAATTTGTTTTAATGCTTATCTCAGAGAACAGGTAAGAGAAGAATTGAATTTTATTCTTATTGTTCCCCATTCATCAATTTTTAAATACATGCCTTTATCATAATAGATATATAGGTAACCGATATCACTGCCCATAAATATTAAAGGGTAGTTTTCACTTTGATTATTTGATAAATAAAATGAAGCTGTTTATACATTGCTCCTACAGGACAATAGATTTGTTTTCCAACTCATTAAATAAAAGCACTTTTCTTTAAAAACTAAAACTTTCCATTTCAGTTCCCTATGAAATTATCAGTGCGATATACCAAATGGATGCAACGTCATCCAGTATTAACACAACTGAGTTGCTTTATGGATTTTGTGGAGAAGAAGACCCCAGCTAAGTTAGTAACTACTGGCTGCAGGTTCTTGGTAGCTGATGAGTACATTGGTTTAGATGTTCTCAGTTCACAGTTTGAAGTGAAAGTTTCTAATTTCCGTCGAATGGTTGGTTTACCAGTATATGGGATGGCTCAACCCAATAGAGAGGTAAATGATTTATCAGTTCAAATTGCCCCAGTTAGTAATGGCCGTCAAGCGGGGATTGACAGGGAGATAGTGATTGTTAGTTTTATTAGAAACAGTATTTGTAAGAGACTTGTTCACAATGTCAAGCTATTACAATATTAGACAAAGTTCGTAATAACTTGAAATTGTGAAGTATTGTCTTGGCAAACCACCATCCCTTGTCCGGAAAGCCCTCTATTTTTATTAACAGTGCTACGTAGTGTATATTTAACTTCAATTCATTTCATTGACAGGGTTTGTCTTGTGTAGTAAACCATCTTCTACAGAGAAAACAAGGTTATAAGAAGGTTGTTATCATCAATCTCCGTAACGACCAGGTTATAGAGAGTGATGGACAAACTTATTCCATTCACGATCCATCTCAACTTGGTGAACCTATACCAGTGGTTGGTGCATCCAGAAGAGAATTAGAGGTAAGTTGACAACCCTATTTCATAATCCAAGACGTGTATCTGAACTGCCTTACCACTAATAGTCAAACCACAAGACCACAACTGAGTGTGTCGATAATTGCTGTTCTAAATGTTATAGAAATATCCTCATATGTTAATAACTAGGTTCAAATTGATGCACTAAAAAGGCTGATATAAAAGTAGTCATTGACATTTATTGATTACAAACGGGTGATCCGCTTTTTATAACTATCAGCTAATGCAGAAAACAGATTTGACCCCTTTTCTACTGTTGTCAATATGAAACCTCTCTTAAGAACTGCGGTTATGGTGATAATTAAAATATTGTTTTTATATGATTTAAATCTATCGAAATCTATGAATAGAGTGTAAACTGACTTGGTTTTCAATGGTGTTTTGTTCTGAAAAGTACATGGTATACAGATTGTTGACAATCGATTCTTTGATAAAATCGACATCTTTGCTCAACTTGAAATCTGCTTCACGTTCTGTTTTCTATAAATAGTCCTGCATAACATTATATATTTTAGTCGAGATCTGTCGATTTTTTTTTACATCATACACAAGAAACGAGAAAAAAACAAGAATGTTTCAAAATAACTGCCAATATCCCCTTTTTAAATCGAAAATGTTTTGCATTATAATTGTATATAATTTATTGAAACAGAAATGTCCAGATTAAAGAATCAACAAACATTTTCAATAACAATTTAAATGGATTTGTTATGACACAAAAATGTTAAAATTCTGTGTTCCCAAATTGTCCCATGTCTCTATTTGATATATATCCACTACAGCATAAAGAAACCTTATTAAAAGAAGAGATATTAGGTAAAAAGATCGTGAAAGTATTTGAAGAGATTACTGACCCACCCATCAATAAAGAGTTTACTAGTGTTATGACACTACAGGACCTTAGTGAACAACAACAGAAGGAAACACCAGATATGTTATACTACAGGATACCCATGGAATATGATCATTCTCCTCTAGTAAAGGTACGAACTTTGAATTGTTTTGCTTATTATAAACACCAAAGAAGGGCTTATTGGACTGCCGTAGATTCACATCGCTTCATTGATAGCATGCTTTAATGGATCACAAGCCTTTATCTGATAGTTTCTTTATTTGTTTTAGGAAGCTGATGATATTCAAGGTTGTATTACCAGTCATTTTAAAGATCCTGATTTATGGACCCAGAATACCATGGCATTTGTATTTTGTTGTCGAACTGGTAAAAGTCGAACAACATTTGCTTTAGCTATTGCTGGTCTTATGTACCATCATATGAGAGTAAGTTCCTCATTTTTGTAAATAGACTATAAAGATTGGTACTGTATTATGTCTAATTTTTGCCATTTTTTTTTAAGAATGATTTATAAAGTATTTTGCCGGGTGTATTTCGGGTATTTTTTGTTTTGTGTTTCATTTTGACTCCTCTGTGCTACTGGCGATTTGTACTGTATATGTCTACACTCGTAATGTCATTTAGAGACATTATTCTTTACTGAAAATAATTTCATCTTCATCGTTTATAGGCTTTCCCATACGGATCACAACCAGGTGAACAAGAAAGAGTATCATGCCCTAACGCTGGATACACTAAGGGAGATTACATTGTAAGTTTGTTACATACCTTACCCCATCTGTTATCAGAGCTATCGACATGTTAACAACTAATGGATTTCTCTGACTATCGACATGTTAACAACTAATGGATTTCTCTGACTAATTGATGCATTTGATGGGTGTATATTGATTTCGTTCTTGCAATATCAACTGTAATTTCCGACACAGTCTCTGTCAAAAGTTTCATTCTAAGGATCAGTCTACTGTTTTATATGTCCTTCTTGGATAATAGTAGTATTGTAGTACAGATAATGGTTGTTGCATTATGAAATTGTACAAGAAAATTTCTATACTGAACCTTCAAAAAAGGAAACATTTTTTATTTTCAGATTGTATTAAAATTAGTACGTATGTTGCCAGCTGGTCAACAAGTCAAGAGAGAAGTTGATTTAATTCTGGACAGAATATTTGAAACAATGAGTCCTATGCATTTCCATCTTCGAGAAGTTATTTTCTTTACTTATAACAAGGTATTTATAATCATGACTCCTTCTTGGTTTTGTATTATCGGCACCTTATAGCATCACCTAATCAACGATTATATTTCAAGCGATGGTCCCTTATTTTATATTAGTTTATATTCAGATAAAGCACCAGACCCTACAAAAATTGAGTCCACAGTTCACAGAGAACGTGTGCTACTACAAAGTTTAAAAGTTAGTATTATATTTCAGATAAAGAATGCTACCAGTGAGCAACAGAGATTAATATTAAAACGAACCAGTTTAGATATGTTAGAAAGATATATATTCCTTATCTTATATAATTGTTACCTTCGATCTGAAAAGTGCACCAACTGGAAACGACCATTCAGTAAATGGATGACAGAGGTAATTATACAACTATGATTAATATTGATTAAATATTCTAAGGATTCTGTTGACTAAAACAAATCTTTAAATGCATCATTAAACAAAATACAGAAATAACAATAAGACAAGGGTGCAATCGTAATTTGATAACATGATATTTTGACACAAATTTGATTAATATTTGAATTTGTTTATTCGTGTGATTTTGGAAAAAAAATTGATTTTTCAATAGACAATTTAATCATAATATATTGTATTCTAGGTCGCTGCACGAGCCGGTGTTTACGAGTTATTGGATAATCTTGGATTTTATGATTTTGAACCAAATGTGGTTACACTGAAAACCAGACGAGAAAGATGGAAGATCAGACACACACTCTTCCCATTCTACGGTGAATTTATCTAAATTCTTAAACCATTCCATATACTAAGACACTTCTTTGATATTTACCTGCTTTTAAAGTCCAACCTCAAACATACTTAACTTACCCTTTGATAAATATTTTCGTACAGAATAGTATTCAAGGATTTTTGTTAAAATTTGTCGGAGTTACTCCAAGGGCCCTTTGTTAATTCAAGGAACCAAGTCAACCCTGAACTGAGACATGATTTCAATAAGCATAAATAATCAGAAGTGGCTATGCGGTAATTATTATGTAATTATGAATTTTTTATGAGCCTTTCTGTATAGTAACCTCTTTGTACACGATCATATATTTGGATAAAGTTATTAATTTTGTTGTAATAGATATGTGCACACGGATTTAAAGTTAAAGTTTTGAATATAGGCTACATTTATATTTTTATATCATTATATATATATAATTAATTAGTGCATTCCTTTTGCCTTAGATTTATATTATATGAATATTTATGAGTGTATTATGTATTTTGGTTAAGTAATGAAACTGAAAAAGTTTCATAGCATTCGTTTTATTTAAATGGTTTTTGTATGTATATCTATTTAAAATATATTTTGATTTGATATCAATATCTATATTATATTTTGTTTGATTGGTTTAAATAAGTATTTTCTTAGTCGTACGTCTTTTTTATGTTTCATATTGGATTTTGTTCTATTACATATCATGCTAAAAAATCAGAGACTCCAACAGAATCCACATAACAAAAATATTCATATTTCTTACGCGTTTTTGATTTAAAGTCGTATATATAGTATATCTTGTAAAGGTATAATAATGGAAGTTTATTGGACGATCCAGAACAAGTGATGATATTAGCATAATTTGTAATGTATCTATACATGTATTTTGTATTTATCTTATCTGTGATATTTTAACTTGTAAATTATTTATTAATATTCTTAAATAAATATAAATAACATTGAAATTGTCATCTTACAAAAACACATAAAGCTGTTGAGTCAGTTCAAAGTCATTTTATCCAGTTTTCATTGACTATTATAAAACATAGTTTGAATCACCTATTGAGACTCTACAGTCTACACCAAGATTGAAAACGTTCCAACAAATAACTAGACAAAAACATTTACAAAGCAAAAGTAAAGCATAAATTTTGGGACGTATTGACTGAAAAAAGAAATTTTCAAGACAAGCTAATAAAATATTTGCACAGACAGGATACAGTCAATATGGAAATCAGAGAAGGTGCATAAAAATTTGCAGAATTGTCAATATTGCAAAAACTTGTTGTACAACACGATCTACATTTAGAAAGATGAAACGATGAATTACAACCGACTATACAATTCTTGGCACAACCTCTTTTCAATGACGTCAATTTTCCTTTACTATCAATTCTTTCTACCTGAAATGTATAAAAGTAGCAGCATAGTATATGGTATACTCACTAACAATGTTCTAGATGTAACAGAACATAAGTAATGATACACTCAAAGGCACAAGTAACAATGTACTAGGGGTATCAAAACATCATACTTATTAAATAGAGTAACAATTAGTTTCCATACATTGGCACAATATAAGTATACAGTCATTGTGTAAATGTGAGATAATTACCACGACGTTAATAGACAAACTGTCTTAGTTTGTCTTCTTAAATCCTACAATGAGCTGAAGTCAGTTCAGTTGGTAACTTACCAAGCAAAATGGTTCATCCAATGAACACTGTTGTATGGGTAAATAGGTGATATTATTCATCTTTACACAGCTTTTAATTTTATCAGTACATTTATAACAATGTAGTTTGTCAGCTGGTACCAATCTCTTTAATGTTATCTCAACTGAAATGAGAATTTCAAGTCATTAAAAATAGTTACGTCCCTTTATTAGTATTTCCATAAAAGATCGCAACAATGTATATACCAAAGTTAATGTCTAATTCCTCTAAATAGAATTATGTATTGGGTTGAAGATCCAATCCGGGTTTTCTTTAAAAGCCACAGTTTCGCCTTCTAATGACAGTTTTGCTAACCCACAATAAATCATAAGTAAAACATGGGATAATCAGTAAATCAAACTATTTTAAGTTTAATTATATATGTAGTTAAGATGTTACACTATATTAATAAGTTAAGCAGATTCAGATATCTGTAATTTTGTGTCGGACATGACCACACACCCCACCCTTCTCGGATGCAATGAAAATTTAAAAAGATCAAAAGGCGTAAGTTCGAAAAACTTTTACACGCGCACTTCTCTTTCCATTTGAGATTGACATGATTTTTTCTCGAACGCTAGCACAGGCAACGCTCCTAAAAATGGGAATAGAGAATTCTAAATAATGTACGATAACATATGGACATGGGTGCATTTATTTAGAGTGGCCTTTGAATTGGAAAACCCTTTTTTAATCCAGAATAACTGAGACTTATCTATACTAATGAGGAAAGCCTCAGTTACAGTTACAGATAATACCGAAAGCTGTCTTTCGACGACATTGAGACTAGCATATCCTTGAATAACGTCTATGTTAAATGTACTGTAAATAAACAAAATTCATATCACGTTTTCTTTCTATCACTTCTGATATATGCATTGCTTATCACCAAGACAC